ATTTGTGTAACAAATATTGTTAGAGAATAATATAAATCATTAGAAAAACTCTCACTTAACATTTTAAAGTTTTGGGTTAAATTAATTTTTTATATGATATCAAAATTTCAGTGATCATACAATCACAAATCCAATCCTCACCACCCTACTATTAAAAAAGATTTCACTCGATCGAGCACTTGCAATAGACAATGGCAAGTGGCAACACATTGAAAGCCAAAGTTTAATATCGAGCAGAGGAGATTTCAAAATTTGGTTAAATAAAAAACGCGAAAGTAAAGTACTTTGAATTTCTAAAATATTAAATACTTTATTATTTATTTATTTTTAATTTCAATTTTTTTCATGATAATAGTTAATAAAATCCAAAAAATATCTAGGTGAAAAAAGTTAATTTTTACAAATAAAAATTAAAAAGACGATAAATTTGACACTGTCATTTCAAAGTAACATATTGGACCGCAGTAAAGTTGAACAGAAAAATCAATTTTGAAATGAGGGAAACACATTAACAAATGTGCGAAATTCGGGAATTCATAAGAAGTTAGGCCGTTCAACACTAGGTCTTTTACCGGTCAAAAAAGGCAAAAAAAAACACCCTATTCAATTACATTATGTAACGTGTTTGTCCAAAAAAAAAAATTACATTAGGTAATGTAGCTTTTCAATGGAAGTGCTTGAAGAACTATGAAAAGTCATCCATGAAACAGAGACGTTCTCCGTAGCAACTAACGACAATGCTGATTATGTGTTTGGATTGACTTTTAAAAAAAGTTACTTTTATGTCCTACTTATTTTAAAAGTATTTTTTATAAAAGTTAAAATTATTTAGATTTTTTAAAAAATATTTATTTTTTTGAAGAAAAAAAATTAGCTTTTGACTTTTGCTTTTTTGAGAAGTTAAAATTTAGCTTCTGAAAAAAAGTAAATTTTTGATTTTTTTTTATAACTTCTGCTTTTTTTAGAAGCAGCGTCCAAATACACTTTAAATTAAAAGTGCTTTTTTTTTTGGAGAAAAAAAGTTCATCCAAACGGGCTCAATATTCTGAAAGCTGAATACATTCTCAAAAGAAATATTATTTACCAATACAAAATTTCTTACACACAATATATACAATAATGTAAAATAATTGTTAGAAAAATAATAACTAAATTGTTAAGACAACAAATCACAAAAATGTTTCATCTCAATATATATGAGGTTTTCTGTCCTAAGGATGTATATGTCTAGTAAACAGATTAGTAAATTATTCTTTGGTCAAAGTGTCCTCTTAGATATCTTAGAATATGACAGATCATCGTGTACGAATAATAATGACTTTTGTCAAATAAATAGTGTGTGTACAGTGACAGCATAACAATAGAAAAGGAAAAAATATCATACATAACAATTCTTAGGGTTTATTTTTTCTGCAGTTAATGCAGATAAGCCCAAAACGACGTCGTTTTGGGGTGGAAATCAATGTATTTTTGTAATTTTAATTTATTTCAGAGTTATAATAGTTTTTATAATTATAATTTTTTAATATTTCAACACTAAAACGACGTCGTTTTGGAGTAAATGCAGATAACTTATCTGCAGTAACTTTATCACTTATTTATAGGATTTCTTTGTGGATATTGGAATTATGAACCTTTAGGGTCTTCTCTAAAGAGTCCAAGCCCAAGTTTAATACTGTCATATTAGGATTAACATTTTAGATTGGTACCCTTCTCTAATTATATTAGTTTCCTATTTCTATTATCCATTATTGGGCTTCTCATTACATGAGCCTCTTATACGAGTCCATAACACGAGGTATGATAGAATTTTTTATTTAAAAATTACCATTTCTCAAATTGAAACTAAAATATTTGACACGTGTCAGAAAAGCTGACATGTAAAACGCCAAGCTACCTAGCGTTTTAGGCCGCGTGGTAGGCTGGGGTGGAAGCTGTCTGCCACGTAATCTCGCTGCACCATACAGTGACTTACGTGGCCATAAACCTATTGCCACGTGTGTACTCCTAACTCGTCAGATGTTGTAAGAAGTTAAATGATGTGACATTTTGAAAAAAAAAATTAGTCCATGGCATCCAAGATAAATTTTTGTGAATAATATGACATTTTAGTTGTTGGCCTAACCTTCAGAAAGACCAACGCAACAAAATATCACCCACCATGTTGAAGTAGAACTGCATGCATGTGTACATTTCTTTTTGTACTTACCTTTTATGGGAACAGTGACCAAAATGCCACTGTTCTCAACTTTTTTTTCCTAAATGCCACGCCAACAGTATGAATTTTCAATGTGCCACGCAGGCAAGTTTGTTGGGCACTGTAGCGAACTTGGTTGCAATTAATGCACCTGCACGTTTCCATCTGCCACGCCACGTGACAGACATGCAACGAAGTTCACTGCCTACCCTAGCGAACTTCGTTGCATGTCTGTCACGCGGCGTGGCAGGTGGAAAATCAAGTTCGCTACCTGTCTACAAAAAATATGACACATCAGCAAACTGAGTTCGCTACAGTGTCCAGCGAACTTGTCCACGTGGCATATTGTAAATTAACACTGTTGGCATGACATTTAGGGAAAAAAAAATTAGGGAATAGTGGCATTTTGGTTACTGTTCCCCTTTTACGCGCCGGTTTGTGTAAAATTAAATCCAAACCAAACATAAACCAAGTATACTGATTTTTATTTATTTTTAAACAAAATATCACAATCTAGTTTTTATAAAATGGGATTGCAAATATAGTAATTTAATTTGGCGTGTACTTGTGACCATGATAGTTAAAATTGAGATTTTATCTAAAATCAGATAGAAGATAAAAATTGTAAAACGTAAAAACCTAACGTAAAAAAATTGTAAAAAATCGCAAAAACGTAAAAGCGTTTAGAATTTTTGATGGAATCGTTTTGATTAAATAAAATCGTAAAAGCGCAGATTTAAATCAAAATTTTAACTACCATGCTTGCGACTTTAAAGTGACACTTCACATTTTGCGCATATTCTACAATACTATTCCTAAAATAATAAAACTCAAATTTTATTTATTATTTATATTATACATTAAGTTACTTTTAAACACTTGTGAAATAAATTGTAAAATTCATATATAATTTATGGGTTCCTTTTTTCTGCGGTCAGTGTAAATAAGTTATTTACATTGAGCCCAAAACGACGACAAAAATCAAGTTATTTTTAAAATTATAATTTATTTCAGATTGTAATAATCTTTCTCATTATAATTTTCTAATTTTTACCCCAAAACAATATCATTTTAAAAATAAATATAAATAATTTATCTACATCTACTATATAAACATTAAAGCCATAACTTATTGTCGTTATAGAATAGACGACAACATTGTTTTCAACAAAAGAAAAATGCTTTTAAAAAAATTAATTATGTCGTATTAATGGCAATTCGTTCTTATAGAAAGTTAAGCTGCCGGAGTTGCATTTAAATTAAGATTTAAAATCACCTAGGGCTTACTCAAAAAAAGTCACTCAAATGCGAGCCGCAAATTAATTATATCGAAGAGAAAAAGTATTTTGTTTTATTTTTTATTTTTTGGGTAAGTTATTTATGCTTTTAAAAGTAAGTAACTAAACCCCCTAGGGTAGCTCAGTTGGCAGCTGAGCTTCAAAGGGATTGCTTGGTGTAGGGATCAAACCCTGCCTCAAGCAGTTTCTTGGAAAATCTTTGGGGGCCAGAGGATAAGCAAAAACTCCCAAACGGACCGTACCCGAGGGCACGGTGCCCGGAGAAGGTTGAATGGGGATACCTCTTGGCAATGTACCAAAAAAAAAAAAAAATAAGTAACTAAGAATATATCTATTTTTAATTTTAATATATTAAAATGTAAATATTTTTAAAATAGCATTAATTGTAAATATGTTATGATTTATTTATTTAGAAGATAAATTTATTTTTAAAAAAGTATTCATTGTAATATTAACTCCGCATTATAAATTCACATAAACTAGGAAAAAAACATTATCATCAACAACTATTAATTTAAGTAATAACAAATTTATTTTTATTTTTTGAATATAAATAAGAATTGAACACGTGACCTAATATAATCTATCGAAATCCCGACCAATCATAGTACCTTGAAGTTTATTCTCCTAAATTAGAGATTTGAGTTCCCTTATATAAGTTTGATAGAACTGAGATCCAATTAATCGGATTTTTAATGAGTAGATAGAAAAAAGGAATAATCAAACTAATTATTAAGAACTACATCATAAATATCAACAAATGATAATGGATTTGCATTTTGTCATGCAAAGAAACAGCATAGCTTATTGATTTTAAACTTTACATGTAACGTGCTTGTGTTGTGAATTTGTGAGATATTAGGCTCAATCACTTCAAAGAAATAAATAGTTAGAATCGATATAAAAAAAACTCCCAAAAATGAATTTTTCTTTAATGTGAAAGAAAAAAACCATTGAAAAAATATTTGTTCTATTTAAAATATTTTTTTTTTCTCATTTGACATTGTTGATTCTTGCACACTCATAGTTCTAACTGCAGCCATATAACAGTATAAAAAGAAAAAATATTTAAGGTGAGATCCATTTATGCAGAAATAAATGAATAGTCATTTTCTTGTTAAAGGAGAAAATATTTCTTCTTAAAATAATACGTTAGTTTTTTTACTATGAATGGATTGATTTCAAAATAATATTTTTTTAAGAAAAATTAAAGTATTTTATATTTATAATTTATTCTAAGATTATATTAATTATTATTATTATAATTTTTTAATTTAAAATAAAATAAATTATTTTATTAACAAATATAAATAATTTATTTACAGGTGAAAATATTAAAATCTTAAATAATTGTGAAATGTTTTAAAGAAAGACAATTGAATTGAGTATGGTAAATACGCAGGTAGAGCGAGGGCATAATAGTAACAGAATGTACTCTCACCCAATATCTGAAAATATATAATCATTTCGCCAAACTACTAAGAAAAAGAAAACGCTCAACTCAACCCTGCATTTTCACTCAACCACAACCACAACCACAACCCAAACCCAAACCCAAACCCAAGCTTTTGTTATTCCTCCCACTCCCAACATAAGAAAGTTTGAGTCTTTTTCCTAAAAATTCTTCCGAAGGGAATCGAATCTGAGAGATGTGTGGAGGTGCTATTATCTCCGACTTCATTCCGGCGTCGGTGGCGGCGAGGTCTCGCCGGCTGACTGCCGATTACCTGTGGCCGGAATTGAAGAAGCAGAGCTCAGGGAAGCACTTCTCTAAGCCCTTAAGGCCTGAGGTGATTGACTTGGACGATGATTTCGAGGCTGATTTCAGGGAATTCAAGGACGATTCCGATGATGATGATGATGATGTTGTCGAGCCTTTTGATTTCACCGCCTCTCGTGGTAACAAAATAATTTATGAGATGGAAGTCAGTTTTATTTATCTTTATCATGTCATATGATTTTCTGGGCCCTTAAAATAAAAAATTAATGAAATTTGTGATTTTTGTTTATGGAGTTGATGATAGCGTCACATGGAATTTTATTTTTAGATCTGCATGAATTGTTACAGATCTCGGGTTGTTTTTTGGGAATATAAATTGTTTTTACTTTTTTTATTCATACATAACATGAATTCACTATTGACTGATTTAAGTAAAGGGATGACTTGGTGGATCCTACTGAAATGATTGAAGAGTTGGGAAAATGGTTATTTGCATCTGTGTTTCTGCTATAATATGATATTATTATTATTATTATTTTTAATGATTCTCAATGTCTGGTATGTATCTATATAACTTGTCCTGAGAAGTGCATTCTTTTCCTATCATATTAATTATTAAAGGATCTGCAGCTGTGAAATCTGTGCCATTCAAAGGGCCAGCTGAGAAGTCTGCAAAGAGAAAGAGGAAGAATCAGTATAGAGGAATCCGTCAGCGTCCTTGGGGAAAATGGGCAGCTGAGATCCGTGATCCAAGAAAGGGGGTTCGTGTCTGGCTTGGAACCTTCAGCACTGCTGAAGAAGCCGCAAGAGCTTATGATGCTGAAGCACGCAGGATTCGTGGCAAGAAAGCCAAGGTCAATTTCCCTGAGGATGCTCCATGTGCTTCCCCAAAACATTCTAAGGCAAATCCGCAGGAAAATCTTAATACTTTTCAGCCCAATCCCAATCCCAATCCCAGCATCAAGTTCAATGTTGGTAACAATCATGATAACTACTACTGTCCGATGGATCTGGTGGAACAGAAACCCCTGGTTGACCAGTTTGCTAACATGGGCTCCTTCCCTGGCAGTGGAAATGAAATCACATCTCTTGCTTCGTCTGATGATGTGACCTTCTACTTTGGTTCAGATCAGGGGAGTAATTCATTTGATTATTCAGAACTTGGGTGGGGTGAACAGGGCCCAAAGACTCCTGAGATCTCATCCATGCTTTCTGCTCCTTTGGAAGGAGAATCTCATTTTGTGCAAGATGACAACCAGCAGAAAAACATGCAGTCTAACTCTCAAGATGTGATATCTGTGCAAGATAATTCTGCTAAGACACTGTCTGAGGAGCTTGCTGATATTGAATCCGAGTTGAATTTCTTTCAGATGCCTTATCTTGAAGGGAACTGGGACGATACATCATTGGAATCATTGCTATCAGTAGACATAACTCAGGATGGCGGAAACCTGATGAACCTTTGGAGCTTTGAAGACATTCCTTCCATGGCTGGCGGAGTATTCTGAGCAACTTTCTCCTGGTATCCCCTGCTTATGTAAATAAAGCTACAAGTTAGTAATTTTCATTCTCCTTCTGGGTTGGTTAATTTTGTTTTTGCTTTTGTCTTATTTGTTGCTAGAATTGGACGCATCCCTTGCATGTGTCTGAAAAAGTAGGATGTTGTGGCCATTGTGTTGCTTTCAGGAATGGTTGACAATTGTCATCTGTGTTGAAGAAGATGGAGTTAAAACAAGTAACACTCGCTTAAGCATGAGTGAAGTTTATTATTCTCTTGTGGCTGAAGTGTATGGGACTAATATAGTTATTTAGGTCCCTTTACCTTGTTGATACCTTAGTCTTGGGGATTTTCAATTCAATGTTCGTAAGGGTGATTATATATGATCCGTGATACTGTCTTGGCTGCTGATAATTTTTAACTTGATTGTTTCATTATGTTCTTTTGCTGCGTGGGTTGGCTGCTTCTCTTATAACATGTTTCTTTGGGTCGTTGTTTGAGAGGATCTGGGAAGATATTAATTGTCTCTTTTTCTCTGCCAAAAAAAGATCTCAAACCAGTGAGAGAAAACTGCTTTTGTGAGCAGCAGCTCGTGCTGTGCGCAATTAGTAGCATCGAAAACTTTAAGGATAAATTCTTCAACGTTGGAGAGGGACTACCCTGAGTATGAATCATGATCATATCTAACCGTCTAAGCATGTCACTGTACAAAAAGGAAAAAGGCATATACAAGTCAAAAATAAATAAGAAAAAACATAAAGGATAAGGGGGATGGATGTATCTGTGTGTAAAATTACCCTGTCAATGTCATCGGTATCATGTGGGAGGCATAAGCGTGAGCTGCTGGTGCATGTGACATCTACCGGATAAGGCTGCCGCATGGTCGGTCTCGCTCCAGCATTATGAAATTTAGGTTGGGTGAAGTGAGTTTTCTTTGTTCAGAGTTTAATCCCTTTGTTTAGGTGTGGAACTGACTAGGTCGCGCATGAGAAAAAGCTTGTCACTTGGCTGGACCTGCATATAACGTGATGGTGTTTAGGGATCCCAATACTTGTTGCGTTTTGGAAGATGGATCATGTTGATGTAGAAACTTTTTTGTGCACTCATTCTTCCTCCATAAGTATAACCACCCTTGGATACACACTTGGGAGTTGGGACCACAATGCATTTAATAGTTGATATGTTTCAATTTCTTCATCCAAAAGCATAAAAGAATTTCTAGTTCATGTGAAGCTTTTGAACTGAGAATATGAACAAAATAACTATTAGAGGAGCTCTGGTATCAGGTTTATCAGAGCCTGCAGTAGAAATAGCACGGTAACCCAACATAGATCCAATAAAAAAAAAACGTGACACATGGATTGCTTAATCATTCAGATCTTTGCCTCTCTTTGCCTTTTCGGGTGTTATAGGGCTGTGGTTTGAGTCCTATATGTGGATAGTTGGGCTCATGTACTTAAAATTTCGGTTTAAATATGTGCTTTTATAATTTTATTATTATTTTTAATCAAAACAATTTTATCAAAATTTTAAACGCTTTTATGATTTTTTTTATGTTAAGATTTTACGTTTTATGATTCTTTTATCTTTCTTTCAATTTTAAGTAAAATTTTGATTTTAACTATCTGGGCCTAATACGTTGATCTTTATAGGAAATGAAATAATAGAAGTTGAGAGAGGTAATGAGTATGGCACGTGTTCAATACTTTTCTAGGGACATTGACTTTTTTGCCACGTCTTTTCAATAAAAATAAAAAACACTTTGAATGTCACGTATTCAATATTTTTTTTCCAAATTGTCACAACAATAATGTAGTGACTTTAGTCTAGTTATGTGGCACATTTATACTGGCCATAGAAGCCTAGTCAACTATTTAACCAAAGTCACTGTATGGTGTAGTTATTTTTGTCTTTCTTTTTTTATTTGCCAAAGTGGATACATTGTGTAGCTACATTGGCTATTTGACTGACACGTTTTGTTGTTTTGCCCAAGTGCCCAAGTCGCTATCATATGTAGCTACTTTGGCTATTGATGAGTTTATGACATAACCTTGCTGGCTATGAAAAATCTTATGTTTCTTTCTTTTTTGGAAAATAAAAATCGTATGCTTTGGATAATTTTGCACTGCCACAAGCATGGACATTGTCCCACCAGTAGAGGTGTTAATGGGTCAAACTGAGTCAAGCTTTGATCTTAAAATATTAAGTCTGTGTTTAAATATGTCAGTCTGGCCTAGCATGTTATCTGTTATGAGTATAAATAGCCTGGCCTAGCCTGTTATCTATTATAAGTATAAATATCAGCATGTGATCTAACTTATTTACAAAAAATAAAAGCTTGATTTAGCCTGTTAAAAAAAAATAAGACAATAAAAAATTTGGTTTTATAAGAGTTATGTTGTAGAAAAAGTGATTGTGTAATGTTATAGAGTGTTTGTGTTGGAAACTTTGTTGTGTCATGTTAAATAATAAATGCAAACCCCTAAAAAATTTATCCAAATATAACATACAATCAACAACATTAATAATTTTCAAAGATTCATAAATTTAATGTATATCCAAATAGCATAATATAGAACAAAATCATTTAAAAAGTATGTTTAAATAATAAAATGGAGTGAAATGAGTTGAGGAAAGAGAGAGCTATTATGAGTAATATAAAAAATATAAAATAAAAATTAATATACTAAGTCAGTTTCAGGCTCCAAGGTCGGATTTTTGAATTGGAGTTTGAGGTCTTTTTATTAAATGAGTTTTTATACAAATTTAAATCTAGTTTTAACAATCAATTTTAAACATGTAAGGTTAAGTCTTCGTGCGAGCCAAAACTCCATGATTTGTTTACCACAACTGATTGAGTTTAGAACTCTATGATCTCTTCAGCAATAATTTGATGTCACAAAACATACTGAAACTAAAGAAAGCCTACTTTCTATATTGGGCTGAAACTTTTGATTTACCACTTCATGTGTGCTGTGTAAATAACTTGTAATTAGCATTGTAAATTCACTCGTTGTTGAAGAACATTTTAAACTATTCGCTGACTTTTTAAATTGTCATTAAATTTTTTTGTATTTTGGTTTTAAAACTATTGTCGATGTGATAACATCAAATATCATGATATTGTTTTTCCTACTATTTTTATTATTATGCCTCTTTATTTATAACAATTTTTTTTAAAATACAATAATATTTTTAATTCATTCTTGAATCGTACTAATGAAATAAAATAAAGAATTCATTCATAACTGGATACAATATCAAGCGAGTTACGTTTTATGGGGACCAAATTTAAATATTAAAAAAATAATTGTTGAGAGGGTTATAAAAAAAGGCAAGTATATATGTCGTCACAAATAATATAATAACAAATTAAGTATTGTTTCTACTTTAATCGGTTTAATATCTAACGTACGCTATTTTACTTATCTAGACCTATGATTAAATGAAAAACAAATAAGTAGCGCTTGTAATGCACATGTGTTTTTTTTTTCTTTTAAGTTTTGTGGTGGGACAGTGTCCATGCTTGTGGCAGTTCAAAAGTAACCAAGCATACGATTTTATTTTATTTTTCCAAAAAAGACAGAAACATAAGATTTTTCATAGTGGACAAGCATGGTATATTGGTATGTCATAAATTCATCAATAGCCAAAGTGGCTACAGAAGGTAGTGACTTGGGCAAAGCGACGTCAAATAGCTTAAGTAGCTACACAATGTATAGTGACTTTAAAACAAAATAGATTAAAGTAATTACACCGTGTAGCGATTTTGGTTAAATAGTTGATCAGGCTTCTGCAATCACTAGTATAAACGTGCCATCTAACTAGACTATAATCGTTATATTATCTATCGACTTTACTGCTAGTTTGGAAAAAAATATTGAATCTATGACATTTCGATATTTTTCACGTGCTCGTATTCAAGACTTAATTGCGTATACGTCTAAAATGACGTGAATACTAATGTCAGGATCATAGCAGTGCTTTTCTTTGCAAGAAAGTAGAAAAAATATATGGATAAAAATTTATATTACCATATACTGTTTTATTATTCAAGAAAATTGTAAAAGAGTATTATTGGGTTTCATTTATCTCATATTAAAGAAGATAAGTTATCTCATGTCATAGAAATAAATTTATGAGCTCCACCGTCTGAAAAAAAAGGTGGCACAGTTATCGAAGGATGTGTAGGAGAAAAAGTTATCACATGTAGCATAAGAGTAGTTTTTCCCTATTACTTTTTAGATAAACCTAAGTTTCTTTCTTTCATTCTTTTGTTTTTTTTTTCCTATTCAAAAAACCTCCGAAATTTTACCCATTGCATATGCTAAGCTTGATTGACGATTTAATTATTACGATACGTATAAAGTTATAATATTGTAGTTGAATGTCTTTACCTCACATTAAAGTTTTTATGGTCTCTGATTAATAAATCACATTTGTAGCTTAAGAAACTACGTTGAAAGTAACTTGTATGATAAGCTGTTCGGAAAAAACTATTGTTAGCCTGTTTTGTAAGGTTAAGCAGTATAATCTTAAGGATAAGCTCACGAGACGGTTGATGATCTACGTTTTTTCTGCTTTCACTCAATCCATTCATATTTGAATTCTTCAACATTTATCCTGACTTCTCTATAAAAAAAATGCTGTTTCTTTCTGCTTATCTTCCTTTTAATCACTTTCATCAAGATTTCTTTTTATCACGATGGTTTGCCTATAGGAACTATTATAGGTATTCCTTGGTTTTTCCAACCTCCTCACAGTGACAATGTGAGTGTACCATCTCGAGTCTTATTGCAATGAGTCAATTTCAGAAATTTCGTTGTTAAGTCACCGTTAAAAGAAAATTTCAAGCAAAAACGGCATAGTTGAAGATCTAGGAGATAGTAGAGCGCACGAGTGAGTACTTCATATAAAACTTTTTTGTTTTGTTTTGTTTTGTTTTGTTTTGGTGGTTATATATAAAATTATTTGAGATCAAGCTTAGTTGTGCATTTTTTTTTTATTTTTTTTTTTTGAACTCAACTGTATTTTGGGTTGCAATACTTAAATTTTACTGAAAAACCCAACCTTGTCCGTTTCTAATCAAATATGAAATCTCTAAATAGAATACTTAATGCTTGGTTTTCAAAAAAAAAAAAAAAATACTTAATGCTTGATCATCCAATTGTCTATTGGTTTGAGCTAGCTAATAGTCATCAGCATAATTCAAGCTTCAAAATTTGAAATGAAAAATCTTGAGTTACACAAAAATTTGGTACAAAAGAAGTTGGTGACAAGAAAACTCAACATGCATGGCATAAGGGCATGTAGCAGCGCCAATTTGTTAGGCCAGTAAAGTCTTATTATATTTAATTGGCTCAATACTGGTATTCACCCATTTGTCTCATATTTAAAATCTATTTATATATCTTTATTTGATCAGTTTAATTTATTCAATATATATTAAATAACATAATATAATTATTAATATAATATGTAGTCCATAAATGCATTAGGAAATAGTTATTAAAAAATTTAATATCAAATCAACAACGATAAAGTCATGTTAATCTTTATTCTATTATAAAACAGTTATTAGTTACGCAGAGAATGTTATTATTATAATTAAATTGTCTTAAACAAGTTGGATTACAATAAGAATGAGAGAATCTGTGAATATATATAGAGTTTAATTAATTATATATATATATATATATATATATATATATATATATATATATATCATTTGTTTAAAATATTTTCATTGTTAAATGAATATATATATAGAGAGAGGCATGATCCTTTGATAAATGTGTCAAACTTCATACCACTCTCTCTTTATATATATATAAATGTTTATCCTTTTAAATAACATAACTTATATTCTTTCACTCTCATAAAGAGATAGAACCCACACTTTTATATTTTTTTGTCCACTCCATCTCCTCTTTTATCTATCTCTTTCTCTCACTTAAAATGACATAACTTTATATCCTTTAAAATGATACACAATTGTTATAAAAATAAAATAAAATGATACACAATTTTCCCTATATATATATATATATATATATATATATATATATATATATATATATGAGGTAGGATTTTTTGACACCGGTGTCAAATTTTAATTTTGACATCTCATCTGAGAGTCGTTAGATCAAAAAAGATCAACGACTCTGATTTGCAAGCATGTGACAATATTGATCTTTTAATTTTAATAAAAATATTTTATAAAAAATGATAAAATATCAACTGATTCAAATTGGACCGGATCATGACATGACTACTCTTTAACGTAAAATGATAGAGTTATATTACAAAATAAGTAATTAAATAATTTGATTTACTTTTATATTTGTAAAATTAATATATATATAAATGAGCGGGCCCGTTTCGAGTTGATTTTTAACTAAAAAAGAGGTAAAAGAAGGGAAGGGAAGGGAAGGGAAAACAGTGATCGTTGAAAAAAAACCCCGAAGATTTATATTAAAAAAGTGTATGTTGAATAATTTGAAAATTCTAAAAGTATATAATTTATATTTCGGTGAGGAAGCAGTCACCGAAGGCGAAGCTGTGTGATGGAGAAGCAGGTGAGGCGGAGCTGTATTACTATTGGCGATGGAGATGGAGTTGGAGTTGACCACAACTCTTGCTATATGCAAAAGTTCAGGCTCTACGAAACCCGCTCGGTATTCAATTCACTCTTCATCGTCTTCTCTTCTTCTCCCTCTGTTAATGTTCTTTTTTCATATAAATTCATCTTTATTCACCATGCTTTCCGTTGGGTTGGGTTGGGTTGGGTTAAGCTTCATATATTGCTTTTTCTTTTTACTTAATTTTTATTTTAATTTATTTGAGTTTTAGACAATTTGCCACCACTGATTCTCATGGATTTTGCATGACTACATTGAACAATATTTCCTGCTTTTACTTTACTTGAATCATCATAATTCATTTCTGATTCTCATCTGCATTATTCTTCATAATACATGTGATGGTAAGTAACCGTGTCAAATTATTTTTCTGAGCTAATGGTTTATGGATTCCCTTACTTCACTGTTTTCAGATTGTATTTTCTGTTCTCCCTCCCCTATCCCAAACCTTTCAGGTTTACCTCCCTCTAATGGATGATCATACATCTTAGCATTGCTGTCCTTTTTTGTTGGCATTAAATTGTTCATCGGGATTTACTTTGAATTGATTTCGACTGATTTAGTGTTTCTGCAAACGATCAACTTTATTGCTAAGTCTTTTTTTTTTAAGGGAAACTAGGGTTTTGTTTGTCTATTATTTTCCTTACTCAAATGCATGTATCTGATCATACATAGTACGGCTTTAACTTTTTGAATTTTACATTACTGACAATTGTTACTAGAAGGAACCCCATTGCTTTTCCTTTCTTTTCTTATTTTCTCCCTCCTTTCTTCAGCAACATTGAATAGCCATGTCAGTATTTCACGAATTTTTTATGGAAATCAGGAAAAGGCCAACAAAAAACTGAAACGGGAGAATTAGACCCATGCTTTCTTCTTTAGGAAACGAAACGAAACAAAAATGAAATTTGAGATTAAAGCATTTCCTTGAAATTCACTTTACCTTAACCTTCTCACCTGTGTCTCATCTTCATCAATCCCTCCCTCTTTCACTCGTTTGTGTTCTCTCACTTTAAATGTTTAGGGGCAGTATCATTGTCTTCTAAATTTATATCAAGTTCCCCTTTGGCCATATGTAATATAATCATTGGCTGTTGACTTGTAGATTCCAACACAAGCAATTGTACCTTCTTACATTCAAAATTTACTTGAAATCAATGTGATAGGATTCATGTTTTGTGTTCTCTTTTTTTTCCACTTCTATATTCGGATAGTAAGAAATATTAATGAGGGTGAAACGCTGAGACTTGGTGCAACATTAACGTTTCTACCTTGTGACCTGGTGGTCATGGGCTTTAGTTACAAAAGCAACCTCTTTGCTCATGGAGTAAGGCTACATACATCTGACCCTCTGCAGACCTAATAATGGAGGAAGCCTTATGTATTAGGCACCCCCCGCCCCCCTCTCTCCCTCCTTTTTCAAAATATCAATAAATTGCAGCAATAATTGTGAACACAAAAAATATTGATAAATTATAATGTCATTGGCTGTTATGGTAAGCCTAGTTAATAATTGCCTGCAATGCAATCATCCACTTCCTAGAGAAATGGGGGTTGGAGCAATGAAACCCTTCTTTCCTTGCCTGTTTGTATTGCATAGTTATCATGCAAGCAACACGCACAATTTTACATGGCCTTCCACATGCAACACGTACGATTTTAAAAATGATGTAGCACTTAAAATTCATCCTCAAAACTAGTCCTCCCATAAGCAATTTAAAGAGGAAGTTAAGTTATGGAATTAAACAAAATACTCCTGAATTACATGACATTCCCTGCTTGCTTAGATATCGTATCTTGTATATGTGTATAAAAATAGTGTCGTATCTTGCTTAGACATTCCTTGCTTGCTTAGATATCTATCTCAATATATATTTCTGAAATCATGTCTCAGGACGAAGTAATAAGATATTCAAGTACCAGTTGTTGACATTTTATTTTTGACAAATTTATTGATGGCTTTGAAGTCATGTTTTGTGCTTGATGGATTTTTATTTTAGAGTTGCTTTATTTGCATAATTCTGTTATTCTGGACTTATACTAAAGGGTATTTAATGTGATATGATGTGGCTGCGCTTCAATATTATGTTGCACATTAGTACCATGCGCCCTTGGTGTAATAGCGTACAATGCACAATAAATAACAGATTGATTACCATTTTGCTATTTGCCACACTTGTTACTTTGGATAACCGTTGAATCTCTATTTCTACTCCCAGCACTCCACTCATACTATGAAGACATTTAATCTGAAATGTTACATTAATGTTCAAATGCTTACAAGTACTTTCCTTTTATGAATATTATCTTTTTTCACTTTTGTCTGCACACATAGTATGGCCATAAAACATTGATGCGGTCTTCTTGCACAGAAATTTTATATGATTGGAAGAGACAAAAACAGAACATATTGGAGGATCTTAAAGATTGACAGATTGGAGCCATCTGAACTAAACATCACTGAAGATTATACAGTATTCTCAGAAATTGAGTGTTGTGACATTCTGAGGCGGATGCATGAAGGAAACAAGTCAACAGGTGGACTTAAATTTGTAACTACTTGTTATGGAATCATTGGTATGTTCTATCTGCTATATAAGAGCAAAATTTCTATTATTATTACTGGCATTTTTTACCCTATTATTGATCAGAAATCAGAATAAATCCATAATCTCATGGAATTTTCTTTTGATTTAGGATTTGTCAAGTTTCTTGAACCCTACTACATGCTGCTTATAACAAAACGAATGAAGATTGGCACAATTTTTGGGCATCCTATATATGCTATCACAAAGAATGAAATGATTCCAGTTCCACATGCTACTGTGCTATCCAAAATGGCATATTCTAATGATGAGAACAGGTCTTTAGTCAATTTCACAATCCACATGTAATTGTAATATGTGTACGGTACATATAAAGAGACATATGAGAGTTGCATTGAGAATTATATCCTGTCCATTGTACTTAGATGAGAATTATTTTGTAAGTTGCCATTGTTTATTTGAGTTCATTATATTATATCGAGTAAAGAAAACATTCTTTTCAGTAATTATCATATTATACTTGGGTTTAGGTTTTACATTTTATACTTTTTCTTTGTACTATATATGTTGATTGTGTCTCTTCAGTGTATATACAAAATGTCTGCTTCTTCAGGTGAACCTTTTCTTCCTTCTGTGGTACTTTCTAATTGCCTTTTTTAAAACATAATCAATATTGCTTCTTTCTGACTTTAGTCATGTAATATTTATAATATTTATAGTGGTCCTTCATATTGTTGTTTTCAAGTTCAACATTCTACTTTTGGTTCATTTATTGCAAATGTACAGGGGCAATGTTCATTACTGTTGTGATGTAAATGTAACCTCCCCCGTGGAGATCACTGTCTTTCCCCCACCCTCCTCCCTCCCCCTTTTTTTCACTTTTGGTTATAGTTAATGACTTCATGAGTTGTTTTTATGATCATTTGTGTTGCTTTTATTCCTCCATATAATAAACCATCTTATTTAATTGCCTTTTTCTCTTCCTTCTGTTGTGACTTAGATACAAGAAGCTTCTATGCAGTGTGGACCTTACGAAGGACTTCTTCTTCAGCTATTCATACAATGTCATGCTTAGTCTTCAAAAGAACTTATCTGATAATATTACACAGGGACAGTTACTATATGAGAATATGTTTGTTTGGAATGAGTTCTTGACCCGTGGAATCAGGAATACCCTCCAGAATACTTCCTGGATAGTTGCCTTGGTATATGGCTTTTTTAAACAGGTAAGTGTGAAGTATCCTTTATTGGTTAATAGATATGTTTTTGATAGATTTGTGTAGGTAGGTAACTAACGGAGCTAATAGTATTATAATAGTGACCTGTATAATTTTTTTTCTTATTTTTTGTTTAATACTTCTATAGTGAGGTTAGCCTATGAAACGAGCCTTGAGAACTCAACATATCTTGGAATTAATTTTTTCTTTCTTATATTTATCTAAGTTGTAAGGGGGCTAGTTTGGAGTAGTGCCAGTGATAAAGTTGTTTCTTTGTGACTGAAAGATCACAGATTGAAATTTGGGAAACAACCTCTTTGCAAATATGTAAGGGTAAAGTTGTCTACAAGGATTGTCCTCAACCCTACCCTTGCTAGTTGGGGTTTAATGGGGAGTGTTTTTTGATTTATTATATTTATTAAGTTGTACTTGATTAATAATCTTATTAAATTGTCCTGGTTTCTCTTTACAATTACGTAACTAATCTTGCTAGCATTTTATTTAATAGCTATTAACAGTGCAGTCATTGTACTTTAAGTTATTAGTGTTTCAGTTGTCTTGTATTGGGATATCCATTCCTCAAGATCACATGGTAAGTTTGGTTGACTCTTTGGTATGGAAGTGCTAGAAATTTGCTGTGTAACTCTTAGTTGTTCACATATGGTACTATCGTGTATCCTTCCTATGATAGTGCTAGAAAATTGTTTTCATGCTAGTATTATATGTAATCTGAAAAATATTTTATTTTATGGCATGGTATCCAGGTAAAACTTTCTATATCTGACAGGGAGTTCAACTTGACTATTATTGCTAGACGCTCACAGCATTATGCTGGGACCAGGTTTGTGCTTTGTTTGGACTTTCTCTCAGAGTTAATGATATAATTAAAGCTACATTCTATTTGACTTTGCATGTTTATTTATATAGAAAAATACTTTGTCTATGTTTGTACCCTTAGCAGATTGTGCCAATTTCTTTTGAGTGTCTATTTGATATGAATGCAATTTGTCCTGAATGCACTTCAATTCATGAGAATCTTATGGTAGACATCTAGATGATGTATTACCAAGATACTTTTGTTTTTCCTTTGCTCAGAATTTCTTGTCATTGTTATTTTCTGTTTCTAGACATGAAGTTCCTTCGGTTCTCTAACTTCTGCAGATATTTGAAACGTGGAGTGAATGAAAAGGGTAGAGTAGCTAACGATGTTGAGACAGAGCAAATAGTTTTTGCAGATGCTCATGATGGATGCCCTATGCAAATAAGTTCTGTGGTACAGATTCGTGGTTCAATCCCTCTTTTTTGGTCTCACGAAACCTCTCGATTGAATATAAAACCTGACATTATACGTATGATACCGAAACAACTTCTTTTGTTTGTTACTCGCTTTTCTGTAGTTTAAACTGACTTTGGTTATCTCCTCAGTATCAAAGAAGGACCATAATTTTGAAGCTACAAGACTTCATTTTGAAAATCTTGTCAAAAGATATGGAAATCCTATTATTATATTGAACTTAATTAAGGTAGGCATTTTTCCACATATGTAAGGAATCATCTGGCATGGTTGATCATAACATGTTCTAACTTTTGTATTCTCTTTTTTCTTGCGTTTAAGACGCGTGAGAAGAAGCCTCGAGAAACTATTCTTCGAGCTGAGTTTGCAAATGCTGTTAGGTCTATTAATAAAATCTTGAGAGGGGAAAATCGCCTGAGGTTCCTTCACTGGGATATGCATCGACACTCAAGATGGTAACTTGCTATTGACTATTTGGTTCCATTACAGTTTTTTCTTGGGTGTTATTTTGACATTATCAGAACAATCACCTTTAGCAGCAAAGCTATTAATGTATTGACACAACTGGGAAAAGTTGCTGGATATGCATTGAAGTTAACTGGCATCTTCTACTGTCAAGTGACAGCGAGGCAAGAAGGATTGTTAGAACATTCCCACTCTGAGTAGGTTCTATAACAGCACTTTTTTACCTTGTTCTGTTATTTCCTTTATTGTATACTGGATGTTATTCATAATAACTGAAGTGTGTTGTTACCTTTTGCACAATCAGAATCCACAATGATGGTTTAAGAAACTGGTTTTCTAAACAAATTTAAGAAACAGAAAAAGTTAATTAAATTTATGTTTGGCAATGGTATGTATTTGATATTTTGGGAAATATTGTTTCCCGAATTGCTGTTTTATTAAATAAGTGTTAGAAATAATATTAGTCTATTATTATTAGATTAGTCTAGATTGTGGGCTTAGCCCATTAGGTCTTTTAGTCTCTATAAATAGAGAGCCTTCTTGTACAGTTATACACACTTGAATATACAATAATATTCAGATTCAACTTGGTATCAGAGCTCTCGATCCGAGGGCTCTGCTTCCACATATATATCTTTTCCTTTCTTATTTACTGCCGTGCATCATACCGGCAAACCCTTTTACCGTCGTGCATCATACCGGCAAACCCTGTTACGGCCGTGCATCATACCGGCAACCTTTTTCAACCCTCCGAACATTGTTAGACCCTTTTTCGATCTCAGATCGTCATCCTCCTTCATTATTTGACCGGAAAACAATGTTCACATCGCCAGAAACACTGTTCCGGCCACCTTTCCGGCGAGAAACCACGCGATCAGGCTCCCCTCACGCCGGCAACCGTTTCTGTCCAAGACCCGTCCCAAACGGCCGTGGCACGTGCCCCCACGCGCCACCACATCCGTCTGCGCGTGGGCCTCACGCGCCACCTCTCTCCGGCGCGTGTGCACTGTTCCGGCCACCTTTTCCGGCCGAACCAAGGCAGACAGGCTCGCCTCTGCCTCCTCCTTTCAGATCCGGTGTCCGTTCGTTGTGGGTCTCTTCCGTTCGTGGGTTTCCAGTGCAAAAGTTGCTACGTTGTTGCCTTTTCGCGTGACTTTTACCGTTTCTTTTTTTTGTTTGGTCGTCTGATTGCTGTTTCTGATGGAAGGAACCAGTAAACATCCTTCCGGCATCATTTCAAGTGCTATTCCATCTATCACAACTCTGAAATTGACCGGATCTGCCACTTACAAGACCTGTCTACCTCCGTTAAGATCTAGTTTACCGGTCAGGGCCATGACAAACATCTCACCACTAAGACGACTGATATTTCCAAAGATCAGACGTCTGAATGGGAGAAAGTTGATGCTCAGCTCCTCGGTATTCTTTGGCAATCCATTGATTCATCTCTTATCAATATTTTCATTCCCTTCGAGACCTGCTATGATGTGTGGACGGAAGCCAAAAACCTCTACACCAATGATATTCAGCAACTTTATTCCATTGTCTCCCAGATGATGGATTTGCGCAAATCACCCGAAGCTCGTATGGAAGTTTATGTTGGTAAGATTCGTTCTTTGATGCAGGAATTTTTGGCTATGTTACCTCATGCTGCGGATGCTACAGTGTACAGGACGCAAGTGGAGCGTCTCTTTACGGTTGTGACTCTCTCTGGTCTCCCTGACGGATTAGAAAGTGTTCGTGAGAACATTCTAACCAGTACTGAGATTTCCAGCATATCCCAGACCTTTCAGCGCCTTCTGAATCTTCAAGATAAGGTGGCCCCCGCACACGTGCCAGCTACTGACTTTACTGCCCTCTTGTCTGATTCTGCTGTTTTAATCTCTCGTGGTAATTGGAACAATGGTGGACGCGGTCGTGGTCGTGGCCGCGGACAAGGCGGTCGCGGGCCCATGACCTATGGACAGGGTGGCCGAGGACAAAGGCCTCGGTGTAATTATTGCCAAAATCTGGGCCACATTGAAGAACGTTGCTACAGAAAGTACCCTCACTTGAAGCCACCACATATGAACTTTGCTCAAACAGATGTTGTGCCGCCCTCTACCGGATCAGTGACTATTTCCGCTGCAGACTATGAGGCCCTTCTCCAGAAGAGTTCTTCTCAGCCACCTGCTCCAGATACTGGTAATCATGTTGCTTGTTTTTCTCAATCATCTCTTGGACCCTGGATAATAGACTCAGGTGCTACTGATCATCTTTGTGGTAATAAGGATCTCTTTACTTCCCTTAACTTTTCTAATAATCTTCCCTCCGTTACTCTTGCTGATGGCACCAAGGCTCCTGCTCGTGGCATTGGGCAAGCCAAACCAACTCCCTTCTTGACTTTAACCTCTGTTTATTACATCCTTGGCATTCCTTTTAATTTAATTTCTGTTAGTCAATTGACCCATTCTCTTTCTTGTTCTATCACCTTTTCTAAATAGTCTTTTTCTATGCAGGATCCGGGTACAGGGAAGACGATTGGAGCGGGCAGTGAGTCACGAGGTCTCTACTATCTGCATGCACCCTCTGCTCCAGTTTTATGCTCTCTCACAGATTCTCCTGAGCTTCTCCATAGCCGTCTGGGTCATCCAAGTCTCTCGAAGCTTCAGCATATGGTTCCTTTTTTGTCAGGTCTTAAGTCTTTGAATTGTCAGTCTTGTCAGCAGGGAAAACATACTCGCTCTTCCTTTGCTAGTAGAGTCAATAAGAGAGCTGCTGCTCCCTTTTCTATTGTTCATTCTGATATTTGGGGTCCGAGTCGGACTATGTTAGTTTTGGGTTTTCAGTATTTTGTAACCTTTATTGATGATTTCTCCCGTTGCACTTGGGTTTATTTAATGAAAAATCGTTCTGAGTTATTTTCAATTTATCAAAAGTTTTGTGCAGAAATAAAAACTCAATTTGGTGCTTCTATTCAAATCTTGCGCAGTGATAATGAGAAAGAGTATGTGTCTCTTGAATTTTCTAAATTTCTGGATACACATGGGACGATACACCAGACTACCTGTCCCCACACTCCACAACAAAATGGAGTCGCTGAACGTAAAAATAGACATCTAGTTGAAACTGCACGTACCCTTCTCATTCATATGAACGTCCCACTCCGTTTTTGGGCAGATGCTATTATCACCTCATGTTTCCTTATCAACCGCATGCCTTCTTCTGTGCTAAATAATGATGTTTCCCACAGTATTTTGTTTTCCGGAGCACCTTTTTATCCTCTGCCTTTACATATTTTTGGCTGTACTTGTTTTGTTCATGATCTTACTCCAGGTAAAGACAAGTTGACATCCAAGGCCTTCAAATGTATTTTCCTTGGGTGTACACGTTTTCAAAAAGGGTATCGTTGCTATTCTCTTGATCTCAAGCATTATATCGTTTCTGCTGATGTCACTTTCCTTGATCAGCAGCCTTTTCACTCTACTCCGTCTCCAGTGTCACAGGTTGATTAGGTCCTTCCTGTTCCTTTTCTTGACTTGTCTTTACCAGTTGCAGGTGACCCTATTCCAGAGGAGCAACCCATTACCTCCATACCTGCAGATCCTCCTTTCCTCACATACCAGCGTCGTCAGCCTGCACCTCCTCCGACTTTGCCTCTTGATGACTCATCGCCCTTTCCCGTCGGCTCTTCTCCTCCGGATCCTCCATCAGAGACTCCTCCCATTGCCCTTCAGAAAGGTATTCGATCCACTCGAAATCCTCATCCCCTTTATTCTTTCTTGAGTTATGACAGACTTTCTTCACAACATTTTACTTTTGTTTCTAGTCTCTCTTCTGTTTCCATCCCTAGAACCACAGGTGAAGCACTATCTCATCCAGGGTGGCGCCAGGCGATGCTTGATGAAATGCAGGCACTTCACTCCAATGGCACTTGGGGTCTTGTTCGTGCTCCTCCCGGAAAATCTGTTGTTGGTTGTCGATTGGTGTTCACAGTTAAAGTTGGTCCTGATGGCACTGTTGATCGCCTTAAAGCTCACTTAGTGGCCAAGGGATACACACAGATCTTTGGTCTTGATTATGGGGATACCTTTTCTCCTGTTGCTAATATGGCTTCTGTTCGCCTGTTTCTTGCCCTTGCCGCCATTCATCACTGGCCCCTTCTCCAACTTGATATTAAGAATGCTTTTCTACATGGTGACTTACAGGAGGAAGTTTATATGGAGCAACCACCAGGTTTTGTTGCTCAGGGGGAGAGTTCTGGAATGGTATGTAAACTTCGAAAATCTTTATATTGCCTGAAGCAATCTCCTCGGGCCTGGTTTAGCTGCTTTAGTTCAGTTGTCGAATTCTTTGACTTAATCAGAAGCAAAGCCGATCATTCTGTCTTCTACCGGCATAGCTCTTCTGACCAGTGCATTTATCTCCTGGTCTATGTTGATGACATTATCATTACAGGCAGCGATCAGACCGGGATTGATCAGTTGAAAGAGCATTTATTCAATCAATTTCAGACCAAAGATCTTGGCAGGCTTCAATATTTCTTGGGGATCGAAGTTGCACAGTCTAGGCGGGGCATTTCCATCTGTTAGAGGAAATATGCACTGGATATCCTAGATGAGACTGACATGTTAGGCTGTAAACCCATTGATACACCTATGGTCCCCAATGTTAAGCTATTACCAGGACAGGGGGAGCCACTGCCAGATCCTAGTCGCTACCGCCGACTAGTTGGAAAATTGAATTATCTTACTGTGACAAGGCCAGATATCTCCTTCGCAATGAGTGTTGCAAGTCAATTTCCTGATTCTCCCTGTGACTCCCATTGGGATGCAGTTATTAGAATTCTCCGATATATTAAAAAGGCGCCAGGAAGAGGTTTATTATACACAAATAAAGGGAGTTCAGAGATCTCTAGTTATTCAGATGCTGACTGGGCAGGTTCTCCTTCAGATAGACGATCCACCTCAGGGTGTGTTCTCTTCGGAGGAAATTTGATCTCTTGGAAGAGTAAGAAGCAAACTGTGGTCGCCAGATCCAGTGCGGAGGCAGAATATCGGGCAATGGCAAATGCAACCTGTGAGCTCATCTGGCTGAGACAATTGCTTAAGGAACTCCATCTCTGTGAACAACGGCCTATGAAGCTCATTTGTGACAATCAAGCCGCTTTGCATATATCCTCTAACTCAGTCTTTCATGAGAGGACCAAGCATATAGAAATTGACTGTCATT